TGAGGCCAGATGAAATGGATCTTGCTTGTAATCCCAGCATGTGGGGCAGGAGGATTGCTTGAGCCCAGGGGTTTGAGATTAGCCTGGGCAACACTGTGAGACCCCATCTCTATAAATAAGTTAAATAAATGAAAATATGGTGGCACATGCCTGGGCTCCCAGCTACTTGGAAGGCTGAGGTGTGAAGTGGGATCATTTTTGGGCCTGGAGGCTTGAGGCTGCAGTGAACTATAATCATGCCACTGCACTCCAGCCTGGGCAACAGAGCAAGTCTCTCTCTCTCTCAAAAAAACAAAAAAAGAGACATGATATTCAATTATAATGCACTAGCTCCCTAAAAATATTTATGATTTCTCTTCAGAAATAGAAAATAACATCTCCAGTTTCAGGAGGAAGCCAAAAGGTACTTGGGATAAAGAGACCCTTGATAAGTCAATTGCTCAGAGGAGGGATCCAAGGCCTCAGGCTCTGGACCACTTTGCTTCTTGTTCTCCAAGAGCTGGCTCCTGAAGTCCCATCTCCTCCATCCCCACCTTAGGCCTTTCCATGTGATGGCCTTCATCTTGGTTTTGTGGATCAGCTCATGGGAGCCCAGGGCCTGAACACCTGCTGGGAACACAGGATCTTCAAAGAGGCACTTCTGGGCCAGACACCTTTGTTTGAGAACAACAAAATCCTGCCCCTCAAACTTGAGGGGCTGTGCAATGGTGCCCTCTCTGTTTCCCCTGTCCCTCTCTCAGATCACATAGTCACAGAAGAATCCTGACAGCAGGTAGGGCATGGCGAGTGCTCAGGGAGTGGAGCTGGGCCTTCCCTGTGGTCTCTTTCCCACTGCACCCTCAGCCCAGGCCTAATCCTCTTATGAATAGCCTGGAGCCTATATAGCTCCTCTACTCTCAGCAGTGCCATGCAAATGAACACAGCCTAGAGAAAAGTCATGGTCAGAGTCAGTAGCTTTGACTGGAGGCCCTGAGTCCATGGTCTAGGGGCAACACCATGAGAGGGAGCCAGGGAGGGGAGAGATAGCCCCAGGGATAGCCTTGGGACAGACCATAATGGCCTGAAAGCCTTCAGGGCACCTTCATCAGCCTTGCTGGGATTCTTCCTCTAAAAAGAAAATATAGTTACAGAGAGGCTTATTTTATCTCAGCAAAAGGCATTCATGCCTTTGACACTGGTGAGCAATGGGCTATAGCATAGGGCCTTGTGATATGCTAATCCTATACAGACTACTGAATGCATAGGAGGAATCTGCCCCATGCCATTGCCTGGGCGTAATGAAGCCTTCACACTCCTGATGTCCTGGCCCACCCCTCAAAGACCTTGACCACTCATTTAGGGACTCTCATCTGTGAAAAGGAAGCAGAGGGTAAATAACTTGACCGCAAATGGAAGTTCCTGTTACAGTAGGTCCCAGTGGCAGTGAGCAGACATCCGTTGTTGCAAATTCAGGACTTTTAGGGTGAAGAATGTGGTGGGTGGGGAAAGTGGATGAATGTGTGTCATGTGTTAATATAGTCATAAGAAAGCCCAGCTTTTTCAACATTTCACTGTGCTTAAATAGGCAGCTCTAATGTGAGAGCAGGGAGCGGAAATGGGAGGAAACTCAGGCCTGGCAGCTTGCCCAATAGGAGGATGCCCAGTCTCCCTGTCTGCTCATGAACACCTGATGGCCTTTGTCTACTCTGTGCTTCTCAAAGTGTGATCATTGAACTTCATGTATCAGAATCATCTGGGCTGTCAGTTGAAAATACATATTCCCAGGCCCTGTCCCAGATCTGAGGACTCAGACACTTTTGGTAGGGGTCTGGGACTCTGCATTTTGAATAGGCTCACCAGGAGAGTCTTAGGTCCACTGAAGTTTGAAGCCATGACTTTATTTATTTATTCATGAGGTAGGGTCTTGCTCTGTTGTCTAGGCTAGAGTGCAGTGGTATGATCTTGGCTCACTGAAACCTCTGCCTCCCAGGTTAAAGTGATGCTCTGCCTCAGCCTTCCAAATATCTGGGATTACAAACCCTGTCACTACTAAAAATACAAAAATTAGCAGGGCGTGGTGGTACATGCCTGTAACCTCAGCTACTTGGGAGGCCGAGGCAGGAAAATCTCTTGAACCTGGGAGGTGGAGATTGCAGAGAGCTGAGATTGCACCACTGCACTCCGGCCTGAGCAACAGAGTGAGACTCCGTCTCATGACAAAACAAAAAATTTTTGGCAAAATCAAAATTCATTATTTACTTTAGTGTTATTATATATTGTTCATTTTGAAGCTAAGTGGTATGTTATAATTACATTTCCTTTCTGTATAACTGTTCCTTTCTTCCTGTTACTGATAATTCTCTTATTTTTCTATGTACCTATCAAGCATTTTGCCAGTGACAGATCTTCCAAATATTGAGCTCATCAGACACAACATAGTGATATTGCAGAATACCATAGATAAAGAGAAGATCTCTAGAGTCAGAGAAGATCTCTAGAATCAGAGAAAAAGACAGATGGCCTATGAAGGTACACTGATGAGAAAGACTGCTGCTTCTTGGCCAGGCATGGTGGTTCATGCTTGTAATCCCAGCACTTTGAGAGGTTGAGGTGGGTGAATCATGAGGTCAGGAGTTCAAGACCCTGGCCAATATGTTGAAAACCCATCTCTACTAAGAAAAAAAAAAATTATCTGGATATGGTGATGGGCACCTGTAATCCCAGCTACTCGGGAGGCTGAGGCAGCAGAACAGCTTGAACCCAGGAGGCAGAGGCTGCAGTGAGCCAAGATCACGCCACTGCATTCCAGTCTGGGTGACAGAATGAGCCTCTGTCTCAGGAAAAAAAAAAAAAAAAAAAAGAGAAAGACTGCTGCTTCTCAACAGCAATGTAAGCCAGAAGATAGTACTAGCATCAACCTAGGACTGATTAGACAGCAAAACTTTTCAAGAGTGAGAGCAAATTTCATACAAATAAAAATGCAGCGTTCTTATTTACTATGAATTGACCCTTACTTTGGGAATTTCTAAACAAAATTAAGAAAAAGTAAAATTATTATAGAAGGAAAAGCCTGAGAAACAGGATGGAACAGTAAGCAAATAAACGTGTAAATCTAAGTAAATATTGACTGGATTAAAATTTTTAATTTCTCATTTTTAAGATTAGAAAATAAAGATTGGGCCAGGTGTAGTGGCTCATCCCTGTAATCCCACAGGCCGAGGTGGGTGGATCACCTGAGGTCGGGAGATTGATATCAGCCTGGCCAACCCGGCAAAACCCTGTTTCTACTAAATATGCAAAAATTAGCCAGGCGTGATGGTGGGCACCTATAATCCCAGCTACTTGGAAGGTGGAGGTGGGAGAATCACTTGAACTTGGGAGAAGGAGGTTGCAGTGAGCTGAGATTGGGTCACTGCACTCTAGCCTGGGCAATGAAGCAAGACCCATTGCAAATAAATAAATAAATAAATAAAAGAAAAATAAAGATAGAACTAAAATTCTGAACACCAAGACATATTAGTTAGGAGAGGAGGACTTAGGACTAAAGTGTTCTATGGTTCTATTGTTTAAGAGAAAGATAAAGTTATTGATTCATTTCAACTTTGGTAAGATTAGTATGTATGTTGACATTTTTAGGGGAATCACTGGAAAAACAGAAATCATCTATATCTTTCAAATTAGTAGAAAGAAAAAAAGAAAAAATACCACTTATAATAAATTTAAAAGGGTAGATAGAAGAAACAAATAACATTTAAAAAGCAATGCAAAGTATATGGTTAAGAAAATAGAAATGAACCCAAAATATATTAATACTCATCATCAATGTAAATAGGTTAACATTTCCAGCTAAAAAACAAAGGTTTTTAGAATATGTTTGTTTAAAAATCCATAAGCACTTTATAAGAAATACATTCATGATATTAGAACATAGAACTGTTGAAAGTAAAAGATAAAAAAATATATAACACAAAACCTTTCCCCAAAAGCTTGTTTACCTACACTAATATTCAGCAAAATTGACTTTAAAGCCAAAAACAACAAACTTTGTGATAGGATCACTAAAAATCCCTAGAAAAATAAATATTACCACTGATTCAAGAAGAAAAACAATTTCAAATGATCCATGATTATTAAAGAGGTTGTAGATAAAACTTTTTCTTTAAAGAAAACATCAGCAAAATGCTACCAAATATTTAAAGAATATTTAGTTTTCATCTTACACAGTCTCTTTCAGAAGAAGGCACCTCCTGTACTCATTTTTTCTTTTTGAGACAGAGTCTTGTTTTGTCGCCCAGGCTGGAGCACAGTGGTGCAAGCTTGGCTCACTACAATGCTTGAGCCAAGCTCTGTCTGCTGGGTTCAAGTGTTTCTCGTGCATCAGCCTCCTAAGTAGCTGGGATTACAAGCATGTGCCACCATGTCTAGCTAATTTTCATATTTTTAGTAGAGACGGGTTTGTCATGTCAGGCAGGCTGGTCTTGAACTCCTGACCTCAAGTGAACTGCCCACCTTGGCCTCCCAAAATGCTGGGATTACAAGCATGAGCCACTGCATGCCGCTTCTGCATTCATTTTATATTATCAAAATTGGACAGCACAAGAAAGATAAATAATATGCCAATCTCATAAAGCTATGATCTATCTGTGAGCAGATATTTAAAAATCTAAATAAAAGATTAGCAAACCAAAATTCAGTGATGTGTAAGAAAGCTAATAAGGTCTAAATGTGCTTTTCTAAGAATGCCAGTTGTCAACATTAGAAAACTCTATTAATGTAATTTTGCATATTAATGATTTAAAGGAGGATAATTACATGATTTTCTCAACAGATGCAGAACAAATATTTTATCAAGTTCAACAACCATTTATGATTTTAAAAGAAACTTTTAGCAAAGCAAGTCTAGAGGGGGACTTTCTTAATGATAAGTCGTGTCTATGATCTATTCAACAGTGAAAAATTAAGAATAGTCTCTTGAAAACTGGGAAGCAGATGAGGATGTCTATTTTCTTTTTTTTTTTCAGTTTGGAAAAAATGTTTTATTCCTCTTTGCACAGAGCAGTTTATGAAGGTGGCTATCTCCTGGCTCCATGCATCTTTTACACAAAAATGCTCCCTCAAATATGCCCAGCTATCTGCCCCACGTCAGTGTTGGAGAACTGGTGGGGCAGAATGCTTAACTCTCAGGAAGGTTTTTAAAGACATTTTTGTGGGGAGGAAGTTCTGGGTCAAGAGGAAAGATTAGACCCAAGAGTGAGTATTCCACTCTCCATCTTCCTGGGGAAATCCAAATGCCAAAAGTTTTATGAGAGTACCCCTCTCAGTGACCTAGAGATAGGGAGAGCACAGAGCTATTGCTTCAGTGTAAGGCTGAGACAGAGAGATGATAGGGTTAAGCAGCGACTGCAAACCCAAGGCAGAGGAGTAAACACACATAGGGGAGCTGAGGGGACAGAGATAGCCTAGAGGACCAAGTCATAAGCTCCACTCCTTCCCCAGTTCTGAGCAGAAACTCTTCTTCCCAAGACTACAATGGAGTTTTAGTTTTAGGAAGTGGCTTTGCTCCAGGACACAGAGAAGACAAACCAGGCGATCCCACATGTAGTAAGGGTGGAGAGTTATGGTAGCTATCCAAGAGATGGACACTCACCATAGCAGTTTTGAAGCTATATGCCAGGATCAGAGTAGAGAATACATTTTATATGACCTATTCAATACAATTTAAATCACTGTTTCTTCCATGTTGTCCCTTCCCTATGAGCTATTCCTAAGGCCATTTCCAAGGCAGAGGACAGGGCAGTAAGAAGGAATAAAAGAAAACACTGAGGTCAGTAAGTGGGGCTAGGGCTTGCATTGGATACATCTCTACCCATCCCCACCCCAACACATTCTATAGAAAGGAATTCCTTCTCCCTCCCCTTTCTGGGTTGTCAGAATGAGGACCAGGTAAAGGCAAAGGGAGGAAAACACTCAGCACATTCTTTCTCCTACTTTAATCTGAAGTGTAGCTACAGCAAAGGGCACAGAATTTACAAAAATGTCGGGGCAGGGGAGCATGTGAGCATAATTGAGTCTAAATAGGAAGAGGGTGCCTCCCCTGCCCTGTATCTAAATATGCTGGGAACTTTACTCCCAGAACTGCAAAAATAATGAGAAGGAAAAGGAAGGGTGTAGGGGAGGGTGGAGGGGGCAACCACAAACAGGATGGAGATTTAAGAATCTCTATGATCCCCAAGATGACCCTGAGAGCATCAGTTGGGGAACTAGATGAAAATTCACAGTAGACATGTGAATTTTTCGAAGAGGATGAAGAACCAGGAACAGTGGGGTCTTCACCGAAGGAGCAACCACTTGATCTGTTCTTTGGCTGACTGCAGCACCTGAGACATGGTCTGCTCCGTAAGGGGGACATCTTCACCCCTTAATGCCACCCGGTGTACCACCTGCTGGGGATCACTCTCTAGGATCACCCCTCCATCTACAATTTCATCCATAGCCAAGAACAGCCCCTCCATGTTCTCCAGTAGTGCTCACTTTTCTACATTTTTCCTCCGCATCTGGCTCAATGAGTCAAAGAGGCAGTTTAGAACAGCCATAAGCATCAGCTCATTTTCATAGGAGCTGCCAATCACATAGAAATAGAGATCTATACTGCTTTTGTATACCACTGTCAGGCCTTCCAAGAGTGCAATTTCACTGTCAGTCTGATGGGTCTTGTTGAAGATGTTCTTCTCAAAGGTCTTTTGCTCCTTGACACTGGGGTAGGTGTCGTCATAGTACTTCGCAAAAAGTCGATCTCCATCATTGTCCAGAATCAGGATGGCTTTGGCAGTATACAGGGAAGGTTCCAAAATCAGCGCCTCCATCTTGCCCCGGAGCTAGTGCAGACATGGCTATTTTCTTATGTAACAATATGCTGAAGGGTTTAGCCAGTACAATAGAACAAGAATGAGGCTACTGCATAAGGTACTTGGCAGCCTTGTCATTATTTGTAAATTCTCTCTCTCTCTCTCTCTCTCTCTCTGTCTCTCTCTCTCTAACAATATAGAATCGACATACAGATAAAGAACTTCAGATCTACAATCAAATTACTAGAATTACAGCTGGTCTTGGTGGCTCATGCCTGTAATACCAGCACTTTAGGAGGCTGAGGTGGGCAGATCACTTGAGGTCAGGACTTTGAGACCAGCCTGGACAACATGGTGAAATCCTAGCTCTACTGAAAATACAAAACTTAGCTAGGTATGGTGCCAGGCATCTGTAATCTCAGCTACTCAGGAGGTTGAGGCAGGAGTATTGCTTGAACCTGGGAGGTGGGGGTTACAGTGAGCACTCCAGCCTGGTGACAGAGCAAGACTCCCTCTCAAAAAAAGAAAAAAGAAAAGAAATTACTAGAATTACTATTAGTTTAGCAAATTTGTTGCATAAAAGAGTCAAATGCATGTTTATGCCTGAGAAATTGAGTACAGGTTTAAGAAAGATGCCACTAACAAAAATCACTTTTGTTTTAACTTTTTTTGTTGTTGTTAAAAGATGCCTAGGAATAAATCTGACCAAAGATGTTCAAGGCAGGCAAGGCACTGTGGCTCACACCTGTAATCCCAGCACTTTGGGAGGCCGAGTTGGGCAGGTCACCTGAGGTCAAGAGGTTGAGACTAGCCTGACCAACATGTGAAACCCGATCTCTACTAAAAATACAAAATTAGCTGGGCATGATCGTGCATGCCTGCAATCCCAGTTACTTGGGAGGCTGAGGTAGGAGAATTCCTTGAACCTGGGAGGTGAAGATTGCAGTGAGCTGAGATTGTGCCATTGTACTCCAGCCTAGGCAACAAGAGAGAAACTCCATCTAAAAAAAAAAAAAAAAAGATGTTCAAGGTGTCATTGAGAACATTCTAAAACATTTATTAAAAGAGACTTATTTAAATGGAAAAACATCCCTGCTTCATGGATAAGAAGACTCAATAATATCAAGATGTAATATTGATAATATTGAATAACAAGAATTCATGTTGATTCAATGAAACTGCAATGAAAATCCGAACAAGCTTTTTAAATTTTTAAAATTTTCTTTAACATGGAGTCTTGCTCTGTTGCCCAGGCTGGAGTGCAGTGGCAGGATTTTGGCTTACTTCAACCTCTGTCTCCTGGGTTCAAGTGATTCTCCTGCCTCAGCTTCCTGATTATCTGGGATTACAGCCTCCCACCACTATGTCTGGCTAATTTTTGTATTTTTAGTAGAAATGGGTTTTTGCCATGTTGGCCAGGCTAGTTTCAAACTCCTGACCTCAGGTGATCTGCCCACCTCGGTCTCCTAAAGTGCTGGAATTACAGGCATGAGCCACTGCACCCACCCTAAAAATGTCTTCTTAAGAGGGTGAAGAGGAAAGTCACAAGTTGGGAGAAGATATCTGTAACACATCTAACCAAGAATGGATTAGTATTCAGGATATATAAAGAATGCCTACAATTCAAATTGAAAAATACAACTCAAGAGAAAAATGAACAAAATACATTAGCAGGTGTTTCATGTTCAGTGAAATACAAATGATCAAGAAATAGACAAGTGTACAAAAAAGATGCTTTGCCTTATTTATAATTAGGAAAATGCACCTATCTTGTATTTCTTGGCCATTTCTGTCCCAGCCCCTCTCACTGTCAGCATTATACTGCTGAGTCACTTCAATTTATTCACCATCATGTCCAGAGCTCTGTCCCCATCATGACCCCCATGAGGAGCTGCTGTCTTATAGAATATAATAGAAGGAGCTCCTAAAAGTTAGTTATAGAATTGTCATTTTCACTGAAACATATGCACCTTTCTCATCCCCCCTACCCCCTGAAGACATTATCATAATTCTCTGCTGAGCAGACAGAAGGCTGGCTCTCAATTGGGTATTTCATTTTGCCTTTCAGTTACTATCATCACTATTTATTGACTCACTGTATTAACCATGTTATATACAGAATCTCATTTATTCCTTACAACAACTCTATGAACATAGGAAGGATGCAGAAACTGAGACCTCAGGATGGTCAATAATTTGCCTGAGGTCACATTGTTAATCAATGGAGCTGGGATTTGAATGAAGTTTGCCTGATTTCAGAGCCTGTGCTCTTCATCATTGTGTTATGCTCCTGCCCTTTGCTGCCTATGCTGATAGTAATTGCTACCTTACCTTGCACACCTACTAGGACTTTCTGATGACTTACTTATGTGACTTACTAGTGGTTGAGTCAGTGTTCAGACAGGCTCTGTTTGGTTCTAAATCTAGCTGTCTTAACCCCACTGCACAATGTCCTCAGTTCTTCCTCTCTGTGGCTAGGACAGTGACCTCACTTTTCTGTCTGACAGAAGGTAACACTGTTAAAGCAGATCACAAGCAGACCACTTGCTGAGTCGGCTTCATTGGAAAGATAAATACTTTTCCTGGGAGAAGAAACAACTGGGTCCTGGGCCCTAGGAACAGAGAGCTTCCTGCCACAGCCTAGGTTTTTCTGTGGTTCAGCCCCCTCCCTCTCATCTCATGCTGGCATGGAGTAACTTTTATTTTGTGCCAACCTAGGATTTCTTCTTTTCAGAACCGAGTAACACGGGTCAAGTGACCCCTGTCTGGGAAGATACACAGAAGTCAGTATTAATTTTAGAGGCAGTGGGGCAAATGGAAGAGGTCGTTAGAGCAAGAGACCATCTGGCGTGGACAGAAAGCTTCCAACTTGAAGTGCTGATGCGAGGCTGGGCTCAGTGCCTCATGTCTGTAATCCTAGCACTTTGGGAGGCTGAGGTCAGTGGATCACCTGAGGTCAGGAGTTTGAGACCATCCTGACCAACATGGTGAAACCCCTTCTTTACTAAAACTACAAAAATTAGCTGGATGTGGTGGTGCATGCTGTAATTCCAGCTACTTGGGAGGCTGTGGCTGGAAAATCTATTGAACCTTTGAGGTAAATGTTGCAGTGAACCAAGATGGTGCCATTACACTCCAGCCTGGGCAACAAGAGTGAAACTCTGTCTCAAAAAACAAAAACAAAAACTAAAACAAACAAGCAAAAAACAGAAAGAAAGTGCTGATGTGATGGTCAAGTGCTGGGTCTTAGGAAGTTGGTGGCCATCTGTCCTCTCAATGCCTTTTAACTCCATTTCAGACCAAAAGGATACAGGTTTCTTGAAGAAATGATTCATTCCAGGTGTGGGGCAAGAAATGTACAAGATGGGCATGGCACATTTTGTTTTGGCCAGAAAACAAGGAAGGAATAAAAGATTAATGGAGTAATGTTAAATGCTACAGGCAACATACAGGGGCTCCTACTGTCAAAGATGGGACAATTTGAACAAGAAAAAGAAGAATGACTGCAATGGATTAAGACATGATGCAATACTCCATACTGATCACATTCTTTTTTTTTCTTCCTTTTGAGCCAGGGTCTCACTCTGTCACCCAGGCTGGAGTGCAGTGGCACAATTTTGGCTCACTGCAGCCTCAACTTCCTTAGCTCAAGTGATCCTCCCACTTTAGCCTCCCAAGTAGCTAGTGACAGAACAGGGGCATTGCCATCTTGGACAAGCACCACCAATTAAAAATTTCCCTTGATCAAAAACCACCTAAATCCAACCCAAAGGGCATCAGCCTAATGGCTAATGTCAGCATGATCATAAACCACAAATGACATCTCCGACCAGAAACATTCCTATCCTAAGATAAACCCCTTCCTGACCAGAGACATGCCAGCCCCAAGATAACCTCCCCTCCAGTGGGAGAGATCTTAGCCCCAAGATAACCTCCCTTCTGACCAGAGACATTCCAGACCCACAACGAACTTCTCCTCCATGCAGAAACATTCCAAGCCTGAAATAAGCTCTCTTGCCCTGAACCCTTAAATACTCTTTAATATGTAAGAGAGAGTGCTCCTGACTGAAATTGCCCAGAAGCCCCTCTTAGGTTTATTCTGCAAAATAAACCTGTCTTTGACTGTTGAGCCACTGTTCGTGTTTCTTTCCTCTTTCATTTAAATCTTACAGTAGGACTACAGGCACACACCACCATGCCTCGCTAATTTTTGTAATTTTAATAGAGATAGTGTTTTGCCATGTTGTGCAGGCTGGTCTTCAACTCCTGGGCTCAAGTGATCCACCCACCTTGGCCTCCCAAAGTGCTGGTATTGCAGGCATGAGCCTCTACACCTGGCCACGTTCTTGATAGAGTATTATTTCAATCTGCAATACTTAAGAATACAGAGAAAATGAAGTACAGTCAATACTCATTATTCTTGGTAGTTACATTTTATAGTATTGCTGAGAACACTGTATTAATAAATACTGAACCATTGCTCCTAGGGGAAATACAGAATTAGGGTCATGTGAGTCTCTGGTCACATTTTCATCAACCAATCAGTAGGTTTCTGCTTAAAGATACCTTATTTAATATTGATTCATTAAATTTTTGTTTATTGATTGATGATTTTATAACATCGAACTCATAGCCAACTGATTATAACTTGTGTGTGAACAAAGCTTATCTGACACATGTATTTTCTCCATGAGGCATACCACAGCCTTTTAGAACACTAGACCGCATTTCAGCACTGTGCTTGGAGGTCACCAATCAAAAGCACAGATATGAGAAAAACATGGCACTAAAGACATCAGGAAAGGACACTCTTTACAGTATGAAAGCTAAAACAAGAGTGTTGCCTTGTTTGACCTGAGGTGAAAACATGTGTGTGGGGTGACTCAGATTTTTTACAGCTCTCTATACGCCCACAAATGACTGCAAAAACACCTCAAGTACTAATTTTGGGGAGACAAACTTTAGTGAATAGGTGAATTTGCAAATATGGCATCTGCAAATAACAAGGATTGGCTGTGTATGGTTAATAGCACTGACATGCTCCGTGTTGGAAAAGCCATGCTTTTGGAACAATTTTGTGACTGATCTGAAGTAACTGAAAGAGCGTCAACATGATTCAAGAATAGGAAATGCCTGCAGTCCCAGCTACTCAGAGTCTGAGGCAGGAGGATCACTTAAACCCAGGAGTTCAAGTCCAGTGTGGACAACATAGTGAGATCCCCTATCTCTAATTAAAAAAAGAATAGGGAGGCTTACCATGTAGGGAAAATCAGCTGACTCTTTTTCACTGTCTTTTGGGTCAGAGCCAGAGAAACGATGCTATATTTGCACCTGGAAACATCTTAAAAATAAGGATGAATTGTTCACATTGTAAAAGTTATAAGCTGTAGGTTATTGAAGGAGATGGAGCCATCCTTTTCCCTTTAAAACATTTCTATCAGGAAAAAAAGCCATCTATCTGGAAAGGCTAAAAGTAGTTCCCATTTTTGGTCCTATGATCTCTGGGGAATTTTAAAAATAGCAGTTTTTGTAGTATATTCCTGGTGTTTTAGAGTATGTAATATACTTCTGAAGGTTCTGATGGTGCTTGTTTAAACTTGAAGTTTGAATGAAAATGGAAAAGTATGTATCAGCTGTTCTTCAGCAGAATGCTACCCAGTGTTAGCTGAGGAGCCAGGCTTCCTTGTAAATTAGTCTTGAACACCACATCCAGCAGCTCCCTACTGTGTGCTTCTTTCTCCCCACACTCTAGTGCTTTCCAAACTCTGACTTCTGAGTGTTAGCTCAGCCCTGCCTGTATAAACCAAAATAGAAACCTCCATCCTCTACCAAGTCACTTGCCTCAAAAGTTCCACAAGCACTCAGAAAGATTTCTGTGAGGGAGGCTGGGCATGGTGGCTCATGCCTATAATCCCAGCACTTTGGGAGGCTGAGGCAGGTGGATTGCCTGAGGTCAGAAATTCAAGGCCAGCCTGGCCAACATGGTGAAACTTGTCTCTAC